CCCTTTCTTACTGTGTTCAAACCACCATTTAGGACAGGATCAGTTATACTTCTTTGACATTTTGAGCATATACAGAAAGTGGGGCAATCTTTGTGTAAATTAATAGTAATAATTAATTTTTATTTAAAAGTAATTAATCAGTAAATTAATTTAGTAATTAATTTTTATTTAAAAGTAATTAATCAATTAATTAATTTAGTAATAAAGAATTATTCTTTTTAAATAAGTTTTGTTATATATTTTTAATTGTTCTTACAACAACATAATGTTGACATATTATTATACATATTATTGTGAAAAAGTAATCCTTTTAAATGATTTTATTGTATATTATTTTAAACTTTACTGAAGGAAAATTGTTAAGTTAATGAGAGGGGCCTGGATTGTCCTCAGTGAAACTGTAGCTCAAAGTGAAGACATGATAATTAAAGAAATACGGAAAATAATAAAGAAATTTTCAATTTTTATATAGTTTAGCATGAAATGAACACTTTTCATCTACTAACAATTTATCCTGATTTTATCAATTTAATATGCCATTTACCGTATGGAGTAATACAAATATTGTGGTAACTAAAGGTTCAGAAGTTAATATCTAGACAACGTTGCTCTTTCAAACAATCCAATTTGTTCAATCAAATCCAAATTGGCAAATCTATAATAAGCACTTTTCGTGCAAAGCGAGTTGACGCTTTGTGTTAATGTGAATGACAAAAATGTATAAAACACAAATATAAATAAATGTAAACAGATTCAGCAGGACAAACAAGGTTTGAACTTGGTTTGCATAAAGGGTTTAAAAAAAAAAAAAATGGATAAATTGTGAATTGAATTTGTGTATTAATACTTTTTTCTCTCCCTCTCTAACTGGATAAACTCCTCCGGGTTGTTAGTTCTTGGGAAAATAATTTACAGATCATAAGAGTTGCCTGATTCCGGTGGAAATATACAGGCCTGTTACTGACACGTATGTTTATTACCCCTTGAAAATTAATTCCAAAAAAATATTTACTTTAAATTTATTCTAAACGCTTCCCAAGAGCTCAATCTCACTATCTGTTCTCTGTAATTTTAATTTTTTTTTTAATCCTTGAATAATTTCAAGCAATCGGATTTCAATTTACAATAGACTTTTAATACATCCAATCTAAACGATTCTTCTGCTGAGGTCAAGGTAAAATTAAATTAACACTGTTGCTATTATGATTTTAAATAAGAACTGAAGATGTAGTAAAAAAAATATTTACTTTAATAATAAATATTTAATAATAATAAGTGCTTATAATTTAATAATAATAAATATTTACTTTCTCAAGATCCAAAAAGATCTAAACTCCATCAATGAATGGGCCCATAAAAATTCCTTAGTCCTCAACCCGTCCAAATCCACCGCCATAATTATCGGGTCCAAGCAACTCCTCAATTCCCTCCCCAGCATCCCACCTCTCATGCTAAATAACCACCCCATCCCCTTCTGCTCCTCGGTTAAAAACCTAGGAGTAGTCTTTGATCAAAACCTTTCCTGGCATTCTCACATTTCCCAAATTTCTCGCCATTCCATCGCCTCCCTCTGCCTGTTCCGTCGGTCCTGGCTTCTCTTACCTTTCTCCACCCGCAAACTCCTTGTATCTTCCCTTATACTTCCCTTCTTCGATTACAGCTGTGTGGCATACGGTGGTCTCTCGGAGAGGGAGAACGCGCGATTGAAGCGTATTTTCAATTGTTGCGTAAGATTTGTGTACGGCACCCCTCGGGGATCCCGGGTGTCGGGGTTGTATTTCCAACTTTCCTGGCTATTCCCCTCCTTCCGTGCCCAGTATTTCCTAGGTTGCTTTCTTTTCCAGTCCATCCACACTCGTCGTCCTCCTTATATCATCCAATCCCTCCAATTCAACTCCTCACATCACACCCGTAAAACCCGCTCATCCCCAATCGACCTTATCCTTCCGCAACATACAACCCATACCTTCGAAAGATCCTTTCTGATCCGAGCCCCTAAACTCTGGAACTCCCTTCCCCTATCTATTCGTCACGCTGCCTCCTTCTCCTCATTTAAATCCCATCTTTATAATCACCTCCTCTCCCTCCAAGCAGAGACCTCACGATAACATTTATTATTTTTGTCTTTGTTTAATATACCTCGTAATTTTCTCTTCTGGCCCGCCTTACTGGCATACATTGTGCCACGATTTCTATCTATCTTTTTTTTCCTTTTTTTTTTAAATTATGTGACTTCATAGAAGGTTATTATATTTTGTCTCATGTAAATTATTCTAAGGGGACACCAGTCCCAGAATAAAGTTATTTTTCTTCTTCTTCTTAGTATTTAATTGTTCAAAGTAATTGTGAGTCTTTCGACAGAGGATTTTTCCTCTGCCGCCTTGTCTTTTTTATCCTAAGTAAATATTGCTTAAGAGTTTTTATTATGAAAGAAAAGAAATTAGATTCAATTTTCTTGCTTTGCTTCATTTAATTTTACTCACAAAGAGAATTGAACAAATACAGGAAGGTGATGTCTAATCCTTATTGAATCATCCATTAAGTTTCATAACACTTAATAATTATAATATCATTGTTATTATTCTAATTAATTATTCTTTTCTTTGGTTGATATGAAAAATTAGCATCCGAGCGGGATTCAAACCCATGACCTTTAGCTCAATACGCAGCAGAGCAGCAGTATATTGAGTTATGGGTTCGAATCCCACTCGTGACACTAATTTTTCTTATCGATTAAAAACCTTAGATTAAGAATGACGAATTGGAATAATTAATATGGTCAGTTATGGCCACTAAACATATATGGATTATTAATATTACCATAATTAATACCTATTAGGAAAAAAAAAAATGAATAAATAAAAAAAAAATTTAAAAAAACAACAACATAATTTGTGCTTGTGAATGAAAATATTAAGGTAAACAGTTATGAATAAAAATATAACAAAAATCAACTAATTAAACAAAATAAATGAACACTTAAATAGATAAGAATTATTTAACGGCTAGATTGTTGAATTTGATTCTAAAGTTCAGAAAGACATTTTCTAAGGTTTGAGTAATTTTAGTTTTGAATTGGGACCTTGACATGTTAAAAACATCTATGTGGTTTGAAGCTGATTTATTAGTCAGAAGTGTCTTATTTTTGTGTAATTTTTACGTTGAACTGGCACTGCGTTACTTACTTGGATCCATCTAAACTCAAACGCCTTTCAGCTTTGCGCCATCTTCAGTGAGGAACTGATGTATCCAATAAATGACCCAGTGCCAGTTCAACATCACCCACTCGTAGACCAATATCCACCATCAACTGTAATTTTTATACCATCATCATCATCATCCTTAGTGCTACAACCCAATACTGCCTCAAGAATCTTCACATTTCCATCCATCTTAGTTTCTTCCTCATTTCCTCTTTCTGGCTGTTTCGACACTGAGTACTCTCTTTGGGACTGTATTTTCATCTATATGTAAGACATGACCTGCCCATCTAAATCTTGATAACTGAATGTGTTTCACGACCTCCACCTCTATGTATAAATCAATGAGTTCTTGGTTATGTCTTGTCCATTGTTTATTCTCCTTGCTGGGCCGTAGATCTTCATGTATTTCAGGAGTCCAATGAGTTTCTACGTTACTTCCTGTTTTATGTCATTATCTGCCGTTATCTCTGATTCTAGATAGTTGAACTAATTAACTTTCTAAGTTGTATCTGCCAGTTTGTGTGGTTGGGCTAGTATGTCAGTTATCTGTTGTCATATATTTTGTTTTGTCTTCATTAATTTCAAGCCCCATATTTCTCGCTGCCAGCTCTAATGATCTTCTGTCACTGACCTCATCATAGAAAAATATGATTTTATTTCTTTCTGCTTATAACCACATTTATTTAACCGATTTAAGTGTTTATTGGAATGTTCATTTATTATGGATCTTATGTATTTGACAGTATGAATATCATCACCAGTCAGTAAACTGATTAATCTCTGAAAGATCCGGTGGTTCATATGGAACTTTATTGATTTGATCCAATTTCTGTCCAAACTGCAGAACTTTTCTAACTTTTCCCATTGTCAGCATATTTATGACTAAACTTAGTACATATATTGTACCACCTTGTCTAAATAAATCTTTTTTCACAATATATTGGTTTTTACTACTTAATAAATTTTCCCTTTTATAAATATAAACATGCTATTAAGCCCATATTTTGATTGAAACGTATTTGTTACTCTGAGAACATCTCATCATATTGTCTATTTCCAGTAAATTAGTGAACCCAATTGACTGTTCTGGTGGTTATAGTAATTGTCCAGATGGTTTACATTTACCCGGCTCAATTGATGGTTATTTCTAAACTTTGCAAATGATTCAAACATCCAGCAGTCAATTTTACCAGTTTTCGCCGATTGAAATTTACATATCAATTAAATTTACACACTTCACGGTAAATGTGCCATTGCCAGTTCATTCTCTTGAGAAAATTCTCTTTGATCAACTTTGATCATCAAATAAACGGACTCTTGTAAAGAGTGTAATTATCAGCTCTGACTAGGTGAGCCGAAATTGGTCAAAAATCCACTTCATGCTTAAAAACGTTTATGAGACTTACAAATGTCAAGGGTATAGTAACGTTGAACTTAACTTATTCCTGCTTTTTTTTTTTTTTTTTTTTTTTTATTTTTTTTTTTTTTTTTTATTTATTCTCGAGGCTTCGCAACAGCAGAGGTCATATAAACCCTCAGTGTGCCGGTGTTTTTGAAAAAAAAAGAAAAAAAAAGCCTATTTGTAAGTATGCAGGGCCGCTGCATTCGAACCTGGGACCTTTACCTTACAGTGATGAGCATCGTGTCAACGCCTAAACTGTTGCAGCCACCGATGCCCCATTTTTTTTTCTGTTAAATTGATTTTTATTGCTTACAATTTTAAAAATAAACTTTATCAAGTTTTTTGTTCAAATTACAAACATATTTTTTCTAACAGATTTTTTTCTTTTGTTACAGATCCGCTTGTGATAACGTCACGAAAACAAAAGTTGCTATTAAGAAAATATCGCCTTTTGAACATCAGACATACTGCCAAAGGACATTGAGAGAAATCAAAATTCTGACGAGGTTCAAGCATGAAAATGTAAGATCAGTTTAAAAACTTTTAATTTCTATGTACAATAACATAAAAATCATTTCAGATAATCGATATTAGGGATATATTACGAGCACAAACAATTGATCAGATGAAAGATGTATATATTGTTCAATGTCTGATGGAAACTGACCTGTACAAACTTCTCAAGACCCAGGTACAGATATAAAAACACTTTTTAAAAAATTAGCGTTAAATTTTAATTTAAAAAAACTTTTTTTATTTTTTAAACTTTTCCATGCTGTTTTTTATAAGACAATAAGTTAAAGACAACAAGGCTTTAAAAAAAAATCATATTACATAATAAAAATTATAATAATAACTTTTATGTTTCAGAGATTAAGTAATGACCATATTTGTTACTTTTTGTACCAAATTTTAAGAGGTCTCAAGTACATCCATTCGGCAAATGTCCTTCATCGAGACTTAAAACCAAGTAATTTACTTCTTAACACGACTTGTGACCTCAAGGTAGATTGCTTAATAAATTGCAAACATTATCGCAAGGTGTAATCTGGTCTTTGCTATTTCAGATTTGTGATTTTGGATTGGCCAGAGTAGCAGACCCAGACCACGATCATACAGGATTTCTGACAGAATATGTAGCTACAAGATGGTACCGAGCTCCTGAAATAATGTTAAATTCAAAAGTAAATTGAACTGTTTAAATATAATTACATATTTTTTACATTATGTATATTTTTGAAGGGATACACCAAATCAATAGATATTTGGTCAGTTGGATGCATCTTAGCTGAGATGCTTTCAAACCGACCCATCTTCCCAGGAAAACATTATCTCGATCAACTCAATCACATCTTAGGAGTATTGGGCTCACCAACACAAGAGGACTTAGAAAGTATCATTAACGACAAGGTAACAAATAGCATGTTTACCATGTTGCTATTGTATTCTAGTCAATATTTTTATATTTCAGGCAAGAAGTTATCTCCAGTCTTTGCCCCCCAAACCAAAACTACCATGGACTAAGATTTTCCCAACAGCTGATCCCAAAGCTCTGGATTTACTCGACAGAATGTTAACCTTCAATCCACATAATAGAATAGTCGTAGATGAAGCTCTCGCTCATCCGTACTTGGAGCAATACTATGATCCTGCTGATGAGGTAAAAATAACCCTTATAATAGTTTCAGTAAGAAAGATGTAGAAAACAGACTTGCCGAGGCTTGAAAAATTCAGGCTCTTTGTGAAGGAAGTCAAGTTGTCATTCACATTTCCAGAAGACTTCTTTCCCTTTTTGATTTCAAAGTTTAATTGGGTTCTTTACATCAATTATCATCAATTGATCATTTCACAAGAATCACGAGTGGTAGCATCAAGTAAAGCAAGTTGATCTTATGGAAGTACAGCATATTGATGTGCACTCAAACTATATGATTTTTTATCGTTATATTTATTACAACTTATTTATTTTAATGAAAGCCAAATTAAGCGAGATCAGAAATTCATGAGTTTTAATAAATATTGTTTAATTATGATGATTTCAAAGAAAATTCACATAAACACCGGAAAATCATTTAGCGATAGATTAAAATTAACAATATATTACCTGGTTTTGCTAATGGTGTATTACCTTTACTGGGGCCTCGTGAAGGGACTTAAGTAATAAACTATCGGATTTCATCTTGTGAAACAGAATCCATTCTTTAATGAGGGCGGTTTGAAGTTGTTTAATGCTTGTTGGAGGCGGTGAACAATGTCTTAACACATCTCTTTATCACATCCAAATGTTCTGTGGGATTCATGTCAGGAGAATGTGCTGGCCAACTCATTGTGGTCATCCCTACTCCTTCAAGACATGGATGAAAACTCATGCGATTGAGCATTATCGTGCACATGAAGTTGTTCTAAATAAATGGAGAGGCTGGGACCATAGCTTCTCGAAGAACTTCCTCAATGTACCTTAGCGCAGTGAAAGATTTATTCTGTATGACAATCAGTTTGGTATGGGTATGGATGTTGATTCCACCTCGTACCATAACTATAACTGACTGTCTTTGAAAACGCATAGGACATGAAGCAAAGCGTTCTCCATATTTTCTCCATGCAAAGTCCTGGTCATTTGACTGCCACAAACCACACCAGCACTTATCTTTGAAGAGAACAGCCCCCATGGTTGCAGGACATCTAGAGGCTAGGCTATTCTCACAAAGCCTTCTGATGACTGTTGTTAAATGACATTTCCATAGTGCTGTAAGGGGAGTAAAATGATCGTCTCTAGCCATCGTTCATCTTGGTCGACTAACACTTTCCCTTTAATCAAGACTTCCTGAAGGCCTTAACCTCTATAGACCGTCATGGATGGTAGATCACCACTTTTACGAAAAGAAAAGAAATCATTAATTTTTTACTCAAATTATTGTATAATCAAAGTTCTGCAGTGCCTGGGGAGCACAAACCCCGCTTCCTAGTATCCTTATCATCCAAGTTGGCTCTGGAAAGGATGAAATTGATCTGATTTTCTTTGTGTCCGACTCTGTGTGTTCTCTCTAGATGTCCTGCAACAATGGGGGAGGGGGCTGTTCTCTTCAAAGATAAGTGCCGGTGTGGTTTGTGGTGAACAAATGACCAGGACTTCGCATGGAGAAAATGTGGGGAACGAGAAGTTCTGCAGTGCCTGGGGAGCACAAACCCCACTTCATCTACATCGTCCAAGTAGGCTCTGGAAAGGATGAAATTGATCTGATATTCTTTGTTTTTAATCTAAAGAGTGTAAAAGGATTAATAACACTCTATAAAGCTAACAACAAATTATCTAAATGTTGTGTTGACGTTTTATGTCAACTATTAATCTTTATATGCAGTTATTATGGGAAATAAAGTACTAAATATAAGTGAGTTTTTATGAGAGGGTATGTTCTGGTAATTGTACTAACACCCGTTCTTGTTCATGTCTTGACCTATCAACTTATATCTTGACTGTTCAATGGTTTGTGCTAAGGTCGACCATACTAAAAATTTTCCATATTTCCTTAAGAGGTCATAATTGACCATATTAATTATTTTTTTTATCTGGCAAAAAATGCGAAAAGGGAAAATTTGGACAATTGTAGGTTGAGATGGGGGATCGAAGTCATGATAAAGCGGGAAACACACTTACCCGATGCAACACTATATGAAGCTACCGGATGCTATCTGACGCCTTCTCTCGTTTTGGTAGGGTGTGTATGTATGTATGGATGTCAACGTCAAGCGCCCATCAGCGTATAAAACAAATCAGTATCACACTTGCAACATGTCTTCGTTCTTAATGCATTCTTTTGAGCAAAACCATTTAACAAATTGTTAGTTAAATTTTATGAGCACAACCATGTAATAAATTGTTAGTTAAATTTAATTGTTTTAAATAAAGTTATACCGGTGTTTTGATAAATATCAAATAATTAATAATAACTTTATTTAAAACAATTAAATTTAACTAACAATTTATTACATGGTTGTGCTCATAAAATTTAACTAACAATTTATTTCATGGGTGTGCTCATAAAATTTAACTAACAATTTATTTCATGGTTGTGCTCATAAAATTTAATTAACAATTTATTAAACGGTTTTGCTCAAAATAATGCATTAAGAACAAAAGAGTGACTGTGATACTGATTTGTGATACATGCTGTGTGACTGTACATGACGTGCGCTTGACATCGCATAAATATGCACACCCTACCAAAATGTGGCAAGACGTCGGGTTGGACTCGGCTCGTGACACTAATTTTTCAACTCAACCTAAAATTTTTGTTTATTTTCATGTGACCTTTGTCGATTATGTCAATTCATTATTACCTTTATGCACATTGATTTAAAGACTAGGTTTAAGTACCACCCGTTAGACATAATTTCATCTCAAATTTTAATCTGTCATAATATATCACTTACCATAAATACAACCTTTACTACAACATCCATAATATTTAATTTACAAAAAATTACCTTAGTATTTCAATACTGCAATGAAAATTGTGTATTAACTTATAAACTTACAAGAATTGTTTTGCAATTATTTTTTTAATGTCTGTGATTTTTTTATTAAATTTCAGCCTGTCGCCGAAGAGCCGTTTCGTTTAGCAATGGAACTTGACGACTTACCCAAAGAAACCTTGAAGAGTTATATTTTCGAAGAGACAGTTCTATTCAAGCAGAGAAATCCAAATATTTAGACTGGTTAAACTATTATTCAATTCAGTAATGGAAAATACCTTGAATCAATAAGGGAAAAGAACAAATACATACAATTATCATTATTTACATTGCAAAGCTCAGAAATTCTTAATTGTATTCGGCTAGTCAAAATAGTAGATTGATAAAAATTTCAAAGTATTTTCCATTTATTTAGAAAACATTAGTATTCATATTTTAACATTCTAAGTGTACCAGTTTTATTATATTAAAGTAATATGTAAATGTGAACTTTAAATGAAAATTTAATTAAATGTCATCTTAATGTTACTACAATCAAAGTCGTTTTCAGGACGTCAGTGATTTAAAAATGGCCTAAATATAAAAAAAAAAGTATTCAACATTGATTTTATTCATCATGATGTTAATTACATTCCGTTTATTGATGAAAACATTTAAATAGATTGATGGGATGCCTTTGTTACTTATTAGTTTAAGCACAGCGAGTAATTTTAAATATGGCTTACACTTACAGTTAACAGATTGTTTATAATTTTCGGTCTTCAAATGTTATTTTTTATAACACAAGACCTAATATAATTAAATATGCTTTTATATTTCAAATTATAAAGAAAAAAGGTGATAGTCATTAGAGTTTTGAGAAAAGTTTTGGATGAAAATTTATGTAAATAAGTAAACAGTTCATATAAACAGTAGTATATAATTTTTGTTGTCATTAATTGCTAACAACTTTATCATTTCTATTTTAAGAAATGCGCTTAAGTCTATTTTTACTGTGATTTATAGTTCGGCTGTTTAGTTCACAAATTGTTGTAAGGATTTATGTTAGTGTTCATCCGACTATTTTCATATGTCATTTTCAGTTGTGTTGAACAGTGATGAAATTCTATGAAGTTAGCGGTATCGTGGTAAATACCCACCAAATTGTTTCTACCTGTAAGTCTAATTTATTCGTCTTATATGTGTACATATTGATTACTGGTCAGATTCGGCATTTTTATCTTCTTTTTTTTTTAATTAATTGATTGTTACTTATGTGTTTAACGAACAAATTTTTCTTCTTGAAAAAACTACTTTAGACTATTAAAAGAGGATAAATTCAATATGACACCATTTAAATACTTAAAGGGGCCAAAAAATTCGTAAACTATCGCTGTTTGTTCCCCCTTTATCAAACAGATTTGTCTAGAACTGTGGCTTTCTGTGCGAGTACAAAAATATTTATTATCTATTTATTCCCTAGACTTGTTCATCTGAGATGCAGTAAATTTTCAAGATATTTGTCTCAATATTGTATCTATAGGCTTCTACCTGCTAAATCCCATTTCAAATGTAGATATTACTGTCATTTATCTTAAAAACTTTCCTCATTTGTCTAAAGTTGTTTTTCTAATTAAATTTATATATGTAATTCATTACTGACATTTTAAGTTTAGTACTTTAGCTTGTATAATTGTTTCTCTTGTGCTCGTTACATCCCTTATTTCAGATTTCCTATTTAAAAAAAAAATTATTTGTTAATATTAGAACAAATTTTAGGTAAAACTAGTGTTATAATTACATGTATTTTTTGTTATAATAGTTGCTAAAGACTAAGAAATTAGATTAATACAATTTTTTAAAAGTTTATTTAGTTTTAAAATAAATAATTGTCTTTTCAATATATTATTGTTGTTTTACTATAAAAATAAATTAATTAATGCGTATTAAATTTTTAAATTGGTACTATTTGCAAAACTAGGATTTTTTTTACAATTATTGTTTTTCTATTAAAACCAACATTTGGATTTCTCAAATATTATTGAGGCTGCTATTTAAAATATTTAAAACAAAAGTAATTTCAATGTTACTCTCCTTTTTAACATCACATTGGATGTTTGTTAAACTTAATACGTTCTAAATGTATATTCTTCAATGCTTAAAAACTTTTGGTGTGCAAGTGTTGTATATTATATATATAACAGATATGAATGTTATTTTTTTTTTCAGTGTACATTTTTAATAGACTCGATTAGACTTCCAAAGAAGCACTTGTTAACGTCGATACGCTGTATTATACTGCCGCTGCGTCGGTGTATATACAGCGCGCTGACTTACATTAGGTATTATTACAAGAACTGTTTGTATTAAAATTAAATAAAAACTTTAATATTATTATAAAAGATGAGTATAATGAATCAAATCATTCCTCGGTGCAACAAAATTAATGAGTGAATGGCCGTAAGAGGTAAAATTGTACATTATGTAAATCTCTCTTGATAATATTTCAACTACACTTGACAAATTGTTGATCAAGTGGAAGAACTGGAGTAATAAAATTCAATTCATGAGTCATTTAATTACATAATATTTTGATAATAAAAAGTAATCAAAATCATAAATTAAAAAAAAAAAATCAACATAGTCGAACAATTTTGAGATAAATGTTTTATATTGATATAATGCAATGCGGAAATATTTAAAAAAAATTTATTAGTGTGTTACTATTGTCATTTGCACATTTTGGTGTCTGTGATTCGATTATATCATGATCAACTTGAACATTCTACATGAAAAATATAATGATGGTAATAAAATTACATTTTTTTTATTATACCTAAAATTCCGTTTTTTATTGCTTATAGTACTTTTTTTTATTTTGCTCTCTTGTTTCGTTTATATAGCTTATTTTAAAGTTTACGAGCTTAATTCTTACGACAAACGATTCAGGATGTACTGTAAGCAAGTGTGCCCAGCAAATTTTTATTTGCTTGCTTTGTATCTTTATAATAATGCCATCTGGCCGTTCGTCAGTGCTCATTAATCTCGTGCTTAGCACGAAATGGGCGTATTATCAGCAGACGATAAGGTCACAAGGGACAAAACACAGACACAAGCCACCAGCGTACAGCTCAAGCAGTCTTTTCAGACACCCCAGATCGCAATGTTAATAAGATTTGGGATTTTTCTCGCATACGTGAGCTGCGCGATCGGCACCGACCAGTAAGTTTTTCACGTGTTTATCAAACAATAAAAATTCCCCTGATTCTTTTTTTAAATTAATTTATTTATAAAATATTTACAAATTATTAAATATGTTTTAATCAGGTATAAGTGAGCTATTTTATTTGTCTTATTTCATGCTTATTTTCCTTGTTGCTTGTTTAAAATGGAAAAAGTTATTAATTAAACAAAAGAAATCATTTCATTTTATGTTTATTAATTTTAGACCCACAATATTCACGAAAGAAGGACATGTGACGATACTCGGTGGCAAGGATGGCAACATATCATTCTTCACAGAAGGGACGGGAACTTTTATTATTAACGGAAATAATTTATTTAATATAATCACCCTTGTATGGACATTTAATTTTAATTATTAAAAGTTGTTACAAATATTTTGCATAAGTTTAAATTGATTGCAGACGGATGAAGTGAAGTTGCAGATTATGAATGTGAATTCCAAAGAGGAATTAGATGCGACGTACAAACTTAAAGAGTCCATTGAGAGAAATAGTATCAAGATAAATTACTTTGCACAATTTTTGACTTCAGGCCAAAATGGAACCAAAGTACCTTTCCTCACAACTAAGGTGAATTATTTATTCCTAAATAATCTTAAATAAATTTATCATCCTTATTAGTAAATACAATACTTTTTCTTTAGTTTATGGATGAACTGAAAAGAAAGACTTTTACATTGGACAAAAAGGTAATTATAATGAACATAGACAAGTACTAAATATACATCGTAGTATATAAGCGTCTCATTTTTTAGATATTTTTTCTTGATTCATCTTTCCGAAGGGTTGACCAAGCTTTGGAAACAAACGAGTGCCAAAACAACCCCTGTTCACATGGCGGAACATGCTATGACGCTTACAAAAGGGCCCAGTGCGTATGCCCAACCAACTGGAAGGTAAATATATACAATATACTATGGAAAAGCAAGTAGAATTGATTTTGTAAGAACCACCTCACGTAACGTGACATTCAGATTCACAGTTAAAAAAAAAAAATCCCCAATTAATAGTTCAGATGGGTGAAATATATTCGAGGATTTTTTGTCATGACAAATAGAGTAATTTTATAAAATATTTCAGGGACAATTTTGTGATGTTGATGTTGACGAATGTTCAGCGTTCAATGGAACAGACCTCGGCTGCCAAAATGGGGCGACTTGTGTAAATACGGTCGGTTCGTACAAATGCAACTGCATAGACGGCTGGCACGGTCTCCATTGTCTTACAAGAGAATTTGACTGCTCTCGAACAAAATCGGAGGAGCTGTGTGGTCATGGGACATGCGTTCAGGTTGGACATGACTACTCGTGCATTTGCGACCAGGTAAATGGATAAAATTGACTCTTCACTCATTGAACTAAACAAAAAAAAAAACTTCTTTAGGGTTGGACTGTGCCTTACAGCCCAATCGGCGGGAGCAATATGTTTCTGGGCTGCACAGAAGATATCAATGAGTGCAATTCAACTGTCCTGCCTTGCTCTCACGATCCCCTGGTAACTTGTATAAACACTCCTGGAAGCTTTCAATGCGGATCATGTCCATTAGGTAACACATTAGCCAGTACAAACCAACACAGTAAATTGTCCGACAAAATTGTTTCTTAGGTTATGTTGGTAACGGACACCAATGTGCTGATATAGACGAATGCCAAACTGACAATGGTGGGTGTAGCACTGATCCGTTTGTCCAGTGTATCAATATAAGAGTGAGTTAGTTAAACATTATGATTATTGTGCTTATTTAAATAAATTATACAATTCTCTATCTGATGATTTTATTTATGATATAAACAATATTTCAGGGAAGTAGCACCTGTTTGGCTTGCCCTCCTGGTTATTCAGGAGATGGTAGAAGTTGTGAATACTCAAAAGACCTCTTTAGGTTCGAAAACGGAAGCTGTCACCATCTAGCTTATCGTAGTTTTAATGCTGGTAGATAAGGAGAATTTAAATTCATTCATGTCTGTAAATAATCACTTGCAAACTAAAAAATAATACTTTGTGTTGTCACAGATCTTAATACGGTTGTTTGCCAATGCCCGAGTGGATATGTTGGGACGGGTATGGGGGTGAATGGTTGTGTCGAAGACAGTTCTGCGGTAGATGGCTGCAGTTCGATGCCTTGTAAGAATGGTGGGAGATGTAGGCCAGAACCTGTCGGGGGAAATTACACATGCTTCTGCAAACCTCAATTTTCCGGTAATACCATAATAATTAAACAATATAAGACATTTTAATTGTTTTTTTAAATATTGTTTAAAGGGAAAAACTGTGAACTAAAACACACTTCATGCACGACAAATCCTTGCCAAAATGGTGGAACCTGTGAAGCAACAAATTATTTTCAGAGTGGTTTTTGGTGTCGATGTCCTGCCGGGTATTCAGGGTTATTCTGCGAACAAATAAACAACGGTATGAAGTAATTATATGAATAGAGTCAAGAATTGTTTTTAAATACTTCTTATTTCAGATTGCTTGGGGACATTTAATACTCCTGATGGGAATTTTTCTTGGAGTTTGTCTTTCGAAGACAAACAAAACAAAGGGACTTATAAAGCCTGCAGTTGGTCAATTCAAACTGACGAATATAAAGCTGTGAAAGTAACATTTTCGGAATTCACTTTCCCAGGAGCTACACCACCTTGTACAGACCCGTTATCCGAAGCTATTCGGCTTAAGGTTATATTTATTAAATTCACTAATTTCGTGGTCCATTTGACCAATTAATACATTACAATTAATTAAGGTTTTTAGTTGAGATGAAAAAAAGTTAATGGCACGACTGGGATTCGAACCCACGATCTTCGGCTAGATACGCCGCTGCTCTACCACTTGAGCTATCGTGACCTCGATCCACTCGGACATCAACTTCCTATCTCAACCCCATCTTATGAGTTTTCCCTCCTTTTGCCATTTTCCAAATGTCGTGTAATCGGTTTGGATTCTCGACGACAATTGAAATGGCGACGGAGAGCTTTAGTGAAGTGTNAGTGGTAGAGCAGCGGCGTATCTAGCCGAAGATCGTGGGTTCGAATCCCGCTCGTGCCATTAACTTTTTTTCATCTCAACTAAAAACTTTAATTAATTGTTATATTTATTTGATTAATCAAGTTATATACATATGACAGTGGTCACGTTTGAAATATTGATTGAGAATAGAAATAAATGTAAATTGATTGATTAACAGTATGATATTACTGAACATATTGAAGTCATCTTTAGCCCTTGTATGTCAACTAATCTATGAGTGTTTTGGCTAAAATAATAAACATTCGTGAATTTACTACCCTTTTATTTAACATAAAATTTAGAACAGTAAGACCGTTAAGCGATAGGGCTCGCAAACCTGATGATGAGGTTTCAGCAACAAATGAAAGAACCAATTGTCACTATTGACCGGTATGTGGACATCAAAGACACGGATGAGACAGTCTTTACCCGTGTTCCCACAGAGGTCCAGGATGTCTGGAACGTCCACGTCAGCATCTGGTCCGCTTCCTGTAATTCATGAGCCCCATCACTTAGTTACACTTTTCAACCTAAAACATATTTATTGCATTACGATGAGTAACCAGCTAGCAAGGATTTATTCCTTCACATCAAATACCAACCCACAATGAAACAGTACACAAATTCTGATTTAATTTAATTAACATTTCCCTTTCTTGTTGGAAGGTCTTGGTGGGCTGTCCTTCAGGCATCATTCCAAAAATGACAAATCAAGCCTTCTCCATATATGGGTGTTGTTCCTAACGACACAAACCTCCTTGCAAAACCCCTCCTTTAAAAATACTATATTTTGGGAGGGAATTGTGTGTGATTACAATATTCAAAATAGAAGGAAGATTTAGAAAAAGGCTTGTTGAAACTTGAAAGTGTTAGATTACAAACATGTTCGGCTAGATGCATACCTCAAATGACACTGTTTTATGGAGAAAAACATGAAGATCCTGATGTTCTGCATTTATCAGTGTTTATATCACTTTATTGCAGGTTTTTGATGGAATGTTCAGAGATTCTAACGTAATCGGCGTATACTGTGGCAATACTGAATCCCCAAAAACAATTATTTCCACCGAGAACACAATGAGGTTTGATGTTGAAGGGCATATTCTCTCTTCTCCGACTTCCTTCGCCCTTACCTGGACAACTGTAGATCGGAGTAAAATGATGTTTTGTTTGTGTATATCTGTGTATGTGTGCGTATATATTAAAATATTAAATTTTGTTATAGAATGTGGTTATAACATGAAGGTTAATACTCACGGTACAATTTCCTCTCCGGGTTTCCCCGGAAAATATCCAAAACGTTCTAAATGCGTTTGGTCATTAACTGCTCCACGGGGGAAAAGAATAGAATTTCGTTTCCTACATTTAGATATAGGGAAAAACACGAGTTGTGATACTGTTTTTATAAAGGTTAGTTTTAAACGAAATACTTTGACTTTTCTTCAGCAGTTGCCTTCGTGTTGTAGATCAGCACTGGAACAGGGAGTTCTTCGATTGTGCTAAGAGAAATTTGTAATTCCTCAAGCCCTGGTACTATTGTAACTCCAGAACATAAGGCCCGAATAGAGTTCCATCCAGGCACGATTGACATGGGCATTGGTTTCGAGTTGGCTTACAGTGTTATAAATGGAATTGTCGGTTGTGGAGATATATTGACGGCAAGGTCTGGGTTCATATTGCCACCGAAATTGAGCGATGATTTATTTGCAAGACAAATCTGTGAATGGCAAATACAAGCGCCTTTGGGAGAAAAAATCAAGATTCTCTTTGAAAAGTTGTCACTAGCAGTTACGGAAATTTGCAGTGATAAGTTAAAGGTAATTAACAAATTGTCTGTTACATTTCACACCGTACAATATTGTGCATATCGTAAAACTGCATATGGGATTTGTACAATCAATGTATAAGCACAATTTTTAAAGGTATATGATGGCCCAGATACACAGTCCAAACTTGTCGGACAGTGGTGTAGAAACGAACAGCCTCCACCTTTTATATCTACATCCAATACACTCACAATAGTTTATCAACACAAGTTTTATAATAGCATGGGTTTATTTCGTATAGATTATTATATAGGTAAACATCAAGAATATTGTATGGCTCAAGTTGTAGATTTTCTCAATGAATTAATTCTTTCATTTTAAATAGTATGCGAAAATACTTTTACGGAAAAATCTGGAGTCATTATGTCTCCAAACTATCCGAACGGATACCCGCCGAATACAAATTGCTATTACACGATCGAAAGACCTCCTATGACTGTCATAGTGGTTTCTATTTTAGACATGGACATACAGTTTGATGAATCTTGTGGTTTAGATTCACTCACAGTAAGTGTATTACCCGGTGAATCATTATCAGCAAACATGAAAACATGTTTTTTTGTTAGATTTATGATGGAAATTCGGACAAATACAAAGTGATTGGAAAATACTGTGGAAATAACAGCGTAGATACATTGACGTCAACGCGCAATATGGTTTATCTCAAATTTTCTGCCGATAGCGATTCGCTACAAGGAAAAGGATTTTACATAAATTACACCACGATTAATGTCAGTAAGTATTTTTGGTCAATTTAACGCCATAAATCAGATCCTTCAAATTTACGTTGACAGCATTTTTGTATTATTTCGATTATAACTATTACACTTTTAAAAATTTATTTTTTGATGTTTTCTACATAGAATCTGTTCACAGATTGTGGTGGGATTTTAACTGACCAGGCTGGAACCATTGAAATAGATAAAGTACTTGCCGAAAAAGAATGCTCATGGATCATAATCGCCAAACCCAACCACATTATACATCTAGACTGGCAATATTTTGTATCCCTGGAAATACATGGATGCTCAGATAATTATATTGCTATATATGATAACGTAACTGCAATGGGTAAAAGGTAATTGTTTTTAATATCGAATAAATTACAAATCACAACAAATTTGGCTTGTTCTCCTTTATTTATAATTTATTTCTTAAGATTTTGTGAAGAAAAACCACCTCCTTTCACATCGTCGTCCAACGAAGTGATGATAACTCTTTTTATGTCACACGTTTACTCAGTTGAATTTAAAGTCTTATTTACAACAGAAAACGACTTGTGTAAACTATATTTTTTATTCAACTCAAGTATAAATTAAAATAAATTATTTTAAGAAGTATAAATTTCAGCTTGTGTTAGAAATTTCTTGGCTTCATCAGGAACGATAATTACACCAAATTATCCTGCTTACTATGGTCCTGGACTGCAATGTCGTTGGACAATCAGAGTGAATGAAAGGAAACAAATAAGGCTGAACGTGAAGGATTTTGACGTCGAATTCAGTCATGGTTGCAATCGCGATTATTTAGAAATAAGGTTTTTTTTGTCATTATAATTATTAAACAAACATATTGGAGTAATTAATTATTTTCAAAACAGGAACGGTGGAACTGAAACTTCTCCTGTAATAGGACGTTTTTGTGGCAAAACAATACCAAGGGAAATTATATCTCATTCGAATAAACTCTATTTATCTTTCATTTCTGATAAAACAGTGGGAGGAAATGGCTTAAAGATTTTGTGGGATGAAGGATCAACTGGTTATTTTTTCACTTTTTTTAAATTTGAAATTTCAATTCTTAAATATTTGATATTGTTTGTATTAATACGTAATGTTAAAATAATGCTGTTAAATTCTTTGACAGGATGTGGAGGAAAGATGAATTCTTCGTCAGGGAGTATCATTTCTCCTAATTATCCAAGTCCTTATGACAACAATTTAAATTGCTTTTGGAAAATAACTGTTCCCATTGGAAATCAAATCCAGTTGACAATAATCGATTTGGATTTGGAAATGTTGCAAAACTGCGTGGACTATATAGAAATATTCGATGGGAAAAACAACCAAGCTCCATCCTTGGGTCAGTTTTGCAGTAAAGCAGATATAAAAACCATCACTTCAAAGAGCAATACCATTTTTTTGGCATTTCACACTGATTCGTTAGACACGGGGACTGGTTTCCACCTTTCGTACATTACCAGTGAGTAAGAATTATACATAACAAATTATCATAATATGTTTATTTAAATTAAAAAAACAAAAAAACAATTTACTTGTTAAAGTAATATATTTATATTATTGGACAAATAAATTATAAGAAATGGGGAATTTTTTAAAAAGAACAATTGTGAATATATGAAGGACTTATAACACGGATTTATGTGCAATAAAAATCCTCAAATATGCCATAAAAATAATATCTTATATGGTAATATTGTTTTGTTATTTTATTCTGTAGGGAGTAACTAAAATTTATGTTTTATCAATTAATTAACGTTTATGTAAGGTATTGGTTGAGATAAAAAGGTGTCATGTGCGGGATTCGAACCCATGACCTTCAGCTAAATACACCGCTCTACCAAGGCAAAAAGGTGGGAAAATTCAAAAGGTGGGTTGAGGTGGGAAGATGGTGTCCGAGTGGATCGAAGTCACGATAGCGCAAGTGGTAGAGCAGCGCAGATTTAGCCGAAGCTTGTGGGTTCAAATCCCACTCGTGTTACTGACTTTTTTATCTCAACCAATACCTTACATAAGCATTAATTAATTGAAAAAAGTTAATTGGTCAATCGGACCACAAACTCTAATGGATTTATGTTTTATCTTGATCCACTCTATTCCACATACCGACACAACCAAAAACACATCTGTCGAATAGAGTGTATCATGATAAAAAATCAAATATGCCATATAATTTGCACTAAAAATATTAAAATACACAGGATGAATGTAGAGACATCAGTCAACTAATAATTAACTATATTTTTTTAAGTCATCACATTTTTTTGGTTTATTACATATTCATTTTGAAAGGAAATATAACACAAAAATTTCAGGCCCAAAAAATCATATAGTTTAAACTATTATACCAAATAAATGATTAGGCTTAATTAAGTTCATGATATGAATTAAAATGATCAATGAATTACAATGCAAAGTTAGTTTCTTTAAAACTACTGCGATTATGGCTCAAAAAATATTCGTACCTTCGCAATGTTAACAGATTCACTAATTTTCGTGGTCCGCTTGACCAATTAATATCTTTCAATTAATTAAGGTTTTTTAGTTGAGATAAAAAAGTCAGCGTCACGAGTGGGATTCTAACCCACGATCTTCGGCTAGATTCACCGCTGCTCTACCACTTGAGCTATCGTGACTTCGATCCACACGGCATTTTAAAAATGGCAAAAAGGAGGGAAAATTCAAAAGGTGGGTTGAGATGGGAAGTTAGTGTCCGAGTGGATCGAAGTCATGATAGCTGAAGTGGTTAGAGCAGTGGCGTATCTAGCCGAAGGTCGCGGGTTTGAATCCCACTCGTGACTGATGTTTTTATCTCAACTAAAAAACCTTAATTAATTGAAAAATGTTAACAGAGTTAATGAGAACATAAAATAATTGGATCGTAAATTCCCTTTCTAATTATTGTTTACATTTAAGATTTCATCAATTCACCCCAATTCAGTCAATCTGGTATTTTTGTCAGGGATGTTTTTTTAATTTCTTTTGTAACAATTCCCGCAACGTTGAGGATTCTGTTTTGCGGTGAAAGAAAATTCCAGCCGGCTATTTTAGAACAAGTCGAAGTTCCTATTTTTGTGTTTCAAATAAGGCAGCTTGTACCAGATTGACTGAATTGGGGTTAATTTCCTCAACCCGACTACTTCAGGAAAAATAACTCCTGTCTTGCCTAGTCTGATTTCAGACATCTAATGTACCCATATTACTCATATTGCTTAATTTATCCACAAATTTATATTTATACAGAACTTTTAATACAGAAAAAAGTTAAAAGTTATGTTTTCAGAATCAATTAGATCAATTAGATTTGAGATGTGTGCCATGTAGAAGTGACATTCTGTCAGAAATTATTTGTCTCCAAGCACTCAACTAGTTATACCTTTAGTCTAGTCATAACTCTAGTCATACAATAATTTTTCCTATTGGTTAAATTTATCAGAAAGCTTTGAAATAAAACATTCTACTCTTTTTAAGACTGCTGTTTCATTTCCCATGCATTCTGCTGTATATTCAGGAAAAATTATAAATCTAGTTATGTTATTTGACTGATTTCAGTTTGCAACCGGACGATAACTGGTTTCAAAGGTTCAATCGAATCACCAGATTTTCCATTGTCAAACGGAAATCTACATAACTGCCAGTGGATTATTCAGGCTCCCTTGGGAAATAGAATACAAATCACTGTGTCACACTTCATAATGGGTAGGAGTAATGTACCACAAAATGTATGGTTCAACCATTTTTACGACCGCGCCTGTAAATTGGGTTATCTTGAGGTGATGAAAACAGTCGTTTAATTCAAAATACTTTTAAACGCCTTGTATAATATTTTTTTCAATTCAGATAAAAGAACAAGACAAAACTGGCCTAGTTTCACAGCTTTTGGATAAACTTTGTGTCTCAAATACCAAGCCTGAAATCACCTCTAACCAAGATCGTGTTTTCATTAATTATAAAACTTCAACCTTTGGAATCAGCAGTGCTTTTCGACTTGACTGGGAGGTTTACGGTAAGTGCATTGATTATTTAATCTGCTCCAGATCTGTGATATTGCTTTTTAGGCTGTGGAGGATATTTCAAGAACAAAGTTTATGGTGAATTTTCTTCTCCCGGATACCCAAATAATTACAACCATTCAGTAGTATGCGAATGGTACATTGAAGAGCCAGCAGGACGCCTGATTGTGTTTAGTATCAATGATATCCATCTGGAAACAACTTCCAATTGCTATCATGATCATTTGGATGTGAGTATGCAATTAACTATATTTAAAGATGTTTGAATAAAAAACAACAGCCAATAGAACATTAGTTCAAGTATCTATTAAAAACTATACATAAACTTTAATGTTTTCTATATTTAAATAAATTTATCAACATTTTGATTAGATTTATAACGGAATTGATGATACAGCACCTAAACTGGCCTCATTGTGTCACCTTCTTCCGAATAGCAAATCTTACACCATTTCTACAAGTGGTAATTATGCTTTTGTAAGATTTGAAAGTGATTATTCAGTAACAGCCAAAGGCTTTCGTGCCATGTTCATAGCCCGCATTGGTGGTAAGTACCAAAAACCATCTTAAAATTTGAATAAAATTTTAAATTGTGTATTATGAATTATTAGGCTGTGGAGGAAACCATCGAGGGTTCTCGGGTCAAGTGTACTCTCTGAACTACCCTCAAAATTACAATGCAAACATTAGCTGTACTTACAGATTATTTGTCATGGAATCGATGAGCATTAACCTGACATTTACCGATTTCAGCATTATGTCCGATGAGAACTGCACTAATGCATATGTTGAGGTATGTTAATAAACAAGTATGTACATTGACTCTTCCGAACTAAATTAATTTCACATTTAGGTAAGAAATGAGGATAAAAGTTTTGGACACTTCTGTGGAAATAAACTCCCACCGACGATAATTTCGAGCAAAATGTTAATAATAACGCATAAAACCAACCATTGGACGTCAAAAGGATTTGCAGCGACTTACACACTTGTAAGATAATTTTAAGCTATGCTATTGAACGACGACGTTAAATAAATAGCAACTAATTTCTTTATAGATTTGTGGTGGCACACTTAAACCACTTGACAATTTATCCAAAGGTACCTTGTCGACTAAGAATATTCCTCATCTGGAGTCGAGAAGAAACTGCACATGGACAATTATGTCTGATGATCTCAGTAATAAAATAGTTTTAAGCGAAGTACTGACTCTCTAAAAAAATAATTTTTTTTTACGTGTTAGGTGGAAAAGTGACTCTGATGTTTACATCGCTACACCTTGAACCGTACCCAAATTCAAAATCCAAAGCATTTATCGCCATTTATAGTGGTTACGATACATCTGTTCCTCCATTCAGAAACATAACTGGAAATAAGATACCATTGTCAATAATTGTTCCAAGTTCCATAGCGACAATTATCTATCGCTACAAATATGGAACATCATTCAGTTTGGACTATTCTCACCTTAACAATGGTCCGTAATAATATTCAGTTAAACTGTTTCTTGATGGGATCTTTTTCAGAAGTAAGGACTCGTCTTTTGCTTATTTTCAGCATGTGGAGTAACATTAAATTCTGAAGAAGGGACTATAAACTCACCAAATTATCCTCACAATTATCCTGCCGATGTAGAATGCAAATGGAATATTAAGCTTAGCCCAGGTAACTGTGTGTCATTACATTGAATCTATTGATATGGTCTGAAGTAGTGAAAAAAAGTGCAAAAGGAAAACGCTAACTGGGAAAATTTCAGGAAACAAACTTTTCCTTAAATTCAATGAGTTCAATATTACAAGCAGTGAATACTGCAATGAAGACTTCTTGGAAATACGAGAAAATAATTTGAGTGGGAAAAAAATCGGTTTGTTCTGCGGCAACACTTTGCCCCGTAACATTCAGAGCAATACATCACTCTGGATTCTCTTTCGAAGCTCAGTAAACGGGACTGGCAAAGGGTTTTCAATGGATTATTTATTAGGTAACCGAATCCCTCAAAACCAATTATATCTATATTTTTTATTTTATTGTCATTTTATAATTCTAGTGAGTGGAGGCGTCTTAGAAGGCCCGGCTGGGTCCATTGCAAGCCCTAATTATCCAAGTTTACACAGCATATCTAAGAACATTTTCTTATGGACTATTTCAGTTTCATCAGGCTCGGTGATCCGCATAACAATTGTGGATTATTCGATTTCACAATTGTATTACGATGATTGTGAAGAGAGTGGTGGCTTAATGGTAAATTTTTATAATTACAAAACAATTTACATATTCTCCTTAATGATGATATTCATTGCTTATGCAAACAATGTTGTTTGATCTGTATACTGTATTTCTGTAGGGAAATAATTTTTTTTCTAATCATCCAAGGAGTCTCCAGTTATTAACGACCGTTTCACACCTCACATTGTTTATTCATTTCTTGCCATTACAATTTTTTTCACAATTTTACTTTTAAAATACCTTTATAACTTAGAAAAAAAAAATTTCTTCACAATTTTACTCTTAAAATACCTTTATCACACTAAACTTTTCTACTTGTTCTAAAAAACAAAAAATTTTTTTTTATAAATATAAGATAGCACTCCGGTAGGAAGTCTGGGGATCTTTCTGGTAAAGTTTCTGGTGAATAGGATCTAAAACTTTCTCATACCCAAACGTTCAATCATTACCTAGTCTAATGTGTGGGTTTCAGAGAAAACCCTCCCTCATTCACTCTAATAAATACATTCATACTTTATGTTCAATTAAAATTTACATTTGCAATGAGTATAAAATACTAACCTAGATTGGTGGGCTTATGGTGTACTTGATATTCCACCGCAGACCCACCCACTCATACACTACTGTCACTCTAATAAATACATTCACTCAAGCGGTAACCACTCATTCTATATGTACAGCTAAGAATGTGGAGCCGCTGGCGCATTTAATATTACGACAGTGCCTCCGCTCATTTATTCTTCAAGAAACACCTTGCTTAATACTAACCTAAATCGGTGGGTCTGTGGAGTACTCGATATTCCATCTACTACCTACCCATACACACACACACACACACACACACACACACACACACACACACACACACACACACACACATTTGTTCCAATAAATACACACTGCAGGAAGGGGAAAAACCTCGTGTGGAAACTTTAAAGGTGACCATATGCATCTATTTGCTAAAGATATTCCATTCATTTTTTGTTGCCGTCATTGTTGTGTGGTAAAACCTCTTTCAGACTCGAGGAAAGGCCACATTTTGTTCTGTATATTGTCATAACCTCAATGTAAAACTTACAGTAATTACCCTCTGTTGGTTGTTTTTGAAAGAAACTCACCTGAAATTGTTTCCTCGATCCATACACAAATTTGAACAACTGAACACTTACATTTTTAAGATTTACGATGGACCCAACAGTGAATCACCAGTTTTAAAAGCCATTTGTACCATTGAATCACCATTTACGACGAGAAGTAATATCGCCTTCATAAAGATGAGAAATATTTTACCAAGCAAGTTCTTCCTTTCGTGGGAAGAAATTGGAAAAGTTTCAGTAAACAATGGTAATAATTTTATTAGAATTTACTTATAAGATTCTATAGGTAATTAATTAAATTATTAAGAACTAATTATTGTGGTTCCTAGATAGTTGTAACTCGACGATATTCATAACTGGAAACCAAGGTGGAAATAGTACTTATAATGTGACCAGTCCTGGCTATCCAAATCTATACCCTCACAACCTTCATTGTACATGGTTTATAAAAACAGACATTGAGAACCATATAGTTATATCTTTTAAAAAGGTTGATTTATGGAATGTTTATGTATGTCATGACATAGTCAAAGTCTTTGATGGTAAGTGCTTTGGCTAAATATTGACATTGGATTTTCTGCTTGTCACAAAAATTTGACTCTTGTGTTATTAACAGTGGAGACAAATACGGAATTAGCGTCCATTTGCAGACACACTGACATTGTTAATGTCACTGGTGGTCGTACAGTTAAAATAACATTCGATACTGACAGTTACGGAAATAAGAAAGGATTTTTAGCTATGGCGAAAGTTGGTATGATGAGAAGAAGCACGTTTCTATTCTCTTCAATGCTTCTCCTTTGTTTATGTTTACAGAATGCGGAGGCAGTATTAGTGAACCGGATGGAATTATAAAACTGCCTGCAGTGCGGGGGCGCGCCCATTTTGATTGTCAGTGGAACATAACAGTCAAACAGGGGCAAACAATTAAAATAGAATTCAGAAAATTTGATTATTTTTCACCCAGTCTTTCTTGCAATAGTTCTTATGTGATGGTAATCAAATGTAACCCCATGATAGACAAGTTTTACCCTGGATATTAATATTTTAATTATATAACAGTTGAGAAATGGTGGGTATCCTGACTCTCCGTATCTTGGACAGGGTAAGTACTGCGGTAAACAGAATCCTCCTGTTCTGGAAACAACTAGCAACAGGGTTAAAATATATTTCAAGCGGGAAGCAGATGAGGTATTTGCAATCCTATATGTTGAAATGTATTTTTACTAAATGTTCACACTTGCAGGAGATTGAAATATATTATGAAGCGATTTCCCCGAATTGTAAACAGGATTTTTATCTGTCACGCCAAGGTCTGCAATCAATAAACATAAGCAATCCGAACAAGGCGTATATCTGTACCTGGGTCATTCTCACCGATTCTGATGACAGCCTTCATTTCCAATTAGTCAAGTTGACGTTTGATTCTAATAGAAAGTAAATATTACATTTTGCATTTTTTTTTTTCATTCAATTTTGCTATATGGCTTCATTTCAGTTGTGAGAATCAATATTTGGAAATTCGCGAAGGTGGTTCAGAGCGAGGGCATTTAATAAAGAAAGTTTGCAGAAAACTGTTGTCTTTTTTCAACACGGAAGGGAATGCTTTGTTCATCAAATATTTTTCAGATGTGCCAGATTCTACAGCCAACTTTAGTGCGATAGTTTCTTTGTGTAAGTCTTACTATGAGTTGTTTTAGTAAGTTTTGTCATGAAATTTAAAATGTCAACTGGTGTAAATAAATGAATTTTAGCCAAATGCGGTGGTACCTTACTCGGATATTACGCGACAATTAAGTCCCCCGGATTTCCAAAAAGTTACGAACCCAACACAAAATGCGAATGGATCTTCCGCAATGATTTAGATATGGGTTACATTGTAATGTTTGATACGTTCAAAATTGCTAATGAGCATAAAAACTGTGAGAACACAACTTCATCCGATGACACTTTTATTATTATGAATGTAGAAACAGGTAAATTTTTTTTCTGATTTAAATGATATTTACGCATTTTTATTTTTTAAATTACATTAATTATTATTGTAGTAATATTATATACAAAGTTTCTATGAAAATCGTGGGTGTAAGGTCAAATCGTCAGATCAATAATGTATATGTAGCAAAATAACAGTATGTTTTGTAGATGACTGTTTTGATTTAAACTTTTTTTGGATGGTTGATTAGTAAGTAGATGAGGAAAAAAAAGAAAAAATGTTTTAAGTATGTAAACATTTTGTCAAATTTATGGGCTAAGGGCAGAAAAATTAAAATAATTACATTATCACTTACTACTAATTGAGATTTTCAGACAAGTTTATGAGGTTGGAACATGTTATGCTATAACTTCGCTGTATTTTTTTTTTTTTTTTTCTGTAGGTAAGAACAGATACATAACAAGCATAACACTATTTATCTATAGCTGATTTTATTAATAATAGTTTATATTAAATATATTAAGAATTATATTAACACATTTCAACCGTCAGATATAACTTTGAACTGAAAATCTCAATTAGTAGTCATAATTGTTAATGTAATAAAATTAAACGTTCTGTATAATTAGAACAGGATGTTTTAATTATACATTCCGGACATTATGCTCCTTAGCCTGCTTTAAGGATGTCGGTAAATTAGTAGTTTTTCTTTTATCTCATGACTGAGCCCAACTTTAAAAAAAAAAAAAAATAATAATAATAATAATAATAAGCATATATACAGATTTGATTTGAAATGAATTGCAATTCTGATTCCTTTTATTCCTAATCTATAATTTCAGGAGAAAACTCATCTTATTGCGGAAATGTCCAGCATAAACATAGTTTCAAGACAGATTCTTCAGATATGAATATAGTTTTCATCGCAAAAGAAAATAAGCTGAACATCAAGGATTTGCGGTTTTCCTTTGTTGTATACAGAAACCAAAGGAAAGGTATCATCGATGTTAGTACAAAGACAGGAACAGTTTATCAGCTTTGATCATTTATAGCTTGCGGAGATTTTCTTCAGTTTAAAAGTGGAGACATTTCCAGCCCAGGCTACCCAAACAGCATCAATTTTCACACTTGCGAATGGTCGATTACGGCTTCACCAGGAAAAATAGTAACAGTTAAAATTATGGATTTGGACTTGCCTACCTCTAAAAACAATTACGTTTCTGTACGTATAACTAAACAGATTGATGTATTTTCTTGTTTAATTAACAGAAACAATCGCTCCCCCCAATCGATTCATGAGATTATGTTTTACAAATTTCAGTTTTACAGCAGATATAATCTACTAATTGCTAAATTAAATGGGTCACAATCAAACGACACTATTGTAGAATCACCTGGAAACTTTATGGAAATAGTTTTATCCTGTCCAAGATGTCGAGGATACCGTGGATTCAGTGCATCATACACCACAACAAAACAAGAATGTTAGTAGAAATCAGAAATAAAGATCATATTAAGTTTTTATTAAAAAGTTTTAGACCACATTTTTCGTTCAAGCTGTGGAAATATGTTATTAAGTATTAAATCAAAATAAAATCACTGTTCATCTCAGAATCTGTGAGTGCTTTATAAAGTTGGATAAAATAAAATCCAACCATCATTCAAATGTTTGCAAATTAAAAGAGGTTTTGACAATAGATAAATTTCATTAATTTGTATTTCAGTATGCAGTGGAACACTTGCTGATAACAACGGAAGTATGGTGTTTTACTATCCCGATTTACCCGTTCTTGATTGTAAATGGACATTTCCTGAGGTTAAAGGAAGAACCGTTACACTCGTAATGTCTGGGAATATTGAGATGGTTGACGGAGATTGCATCAAAAGCACTCCACAAATACAAATATCCTTACGTATGTAGGTGTTGCGTTAAACGTAGACGTAGAAGTATGACTTGATTTATTATATTTCAGCCTCTATCCATAACTATTTATATTGCGTAAGTGCTGAACAACACAGTTACAGACTAGTTTTACCCGGTGTAGAAATGGATATAAAGGTGATTGTTTAAATGATTGAGTAGGTGAGAGTGAAACTAATGGAATAAATCAACAGGTTCTCGGAGCCCAATCAAACGCAAACGCAACGCTAAATTTCACATTAAATTGGAATTCCAATCAATGTGGAAGTAACGGCAATTTGAACGATTATTCGGATGTGTTGCTCAGTCCTGGTTACCCGAACAATTACAGCCCTAATTTGGATTGTGTTTGGTTGTACCAAATAAATTACCGATCAGTTAAGAAGGCAAGCATTACACTTTAAATTTTATTCTGATTGAGTTCATTAAATATTAACATTTATTAAATCCATTATATTTAGTGGTCTGATTGACCAAATTACTTCTTTCAATTATTTAATCTTTTTATGTAAGGCTTTGGTTGAAATGAAAAAGTTAGAGCAGGATACGAACCCACGACCTTTAGCTCAATACACCGCTGCCCTAACCACTTGAGCTATCGTGACTTCTGAAGTGGAATGACGTTATGATAGCTTAAGTGGTACCCATGAGCCAAAGGTCATGGGTTCGTATCCCGCTCGTGACACTAACTTTTTCATTTCAACCAAAATCTTACGTAAAAAGACTATTTAATTAACATATATTATTGTTTAACGTATTTTTTTAATTACAGATCAAATTTAATAATTTCTCTTTAGAAAACGACTGCAATAACGATTTCCTTGAAATCATGAGTGGGGAAGATTACTTTGAAACAAATTTGGGAAAGAATAAATATTGTGGAACAATTGTCCCAGCGGATTTAATAATGGGTCGATATTACGTTTGGTTTTATTTTCACAGCGATTCCACAAACGAATTTCAAGGATTTAATATTTCCATAGATACAATTTCAAATGGTAAATGTTGGGTCAACGTTGAATAGACACTGTTGAGCATAACAATTATGCCATTTCCTAGGTTGTGGTGGTCTTCACACTAGCAATCAGGGAGTTATCATGTCTCCCAATTACCTGAAACAATATAAAAATAATACTGAATGTGAATGGGTCATCCACACCCATGAAGGTAACCACATTGAAATTAAGTTGAAAGGAAGGATGCAGATTGAAAAAAGCGACAACTGCACCAAAGACTATCTCGAGGTGAAATTATTGACAACGATTTATTTTAGTCTAAAATGCTTATTTTGATTGACTTGTTTTAGTTTTTTGATGGCGTTAATCATACGTGGGTGTCTATTGCGAAAAAATGTGGCTCGGACTTTGGTCCTACTGTCTACTCGACTTCAAACAAAATGAAAATTTTATTTAGAACTAACGATATAATTACTGGAAATGGATTTTTGGTATATATTATTACCTTAATTACCTTTGGTGAATATTTGTGGACACATCAACTGCAAACTGATATTTGTGTTCCAGCTGGATTGGCAAGTCATTTGTGGTGGGATGTTTGAGGCGGGTAAAACGCTTAGTCATATTTATTCTCCAGGATATCCTGATAAATATTTAGGACCACTTACTTGCAACTATACCATATCCGCTGAAGGGAAAATGATAAAGGGGCGTTTTGTCGACTTTCAATTAGAAGACGGTAATGTCAATAACAATGAAATTGTTAGTTTTCAAATTTCTATTATTTTTTTTTTTTTTTTTTTTTTTTTTTTTTTTTTTTTTTTTTTTTTTTGTAGAAATGCAGTTAGAGTGTCACTTTGATTACGTAGAGATTATCACCTCTTCATTTTCTTTCAAAGAAATTGTTACCAAAAAAAGCAAAAAGTACTGCGGTACGACGGCCCCTGAAGAATTTCAGTCTTTTGGTTCTTTCACATTAACATTTGTTGTCAACGATTATGATGATTATAAAGGCTTTGACTTGGAATATTTCGTTGAAGGTGGTGCAAAATTTTTCTCTCGAATACATATTCATGTTTTATACTTGCGTTATAAATTATAGATTGTGGTGGTGAGATAAAAGAACCAACAGAAATAAATTATGAAACAACAACATCAGTGCCGACAAACTGTAGCTGGTATATAACGGCACCAAAAAACAGAATTGTCATAATTAGGTAATAATAATTACAAAGAACAAAAGTTGTATTATGACTTGTTTTTATTGATATTCTAATTCATTTCAATTGATTATATAGAAAAGTAGTTATGACATGATTTTTCAGTGTGGGCCTTAACTACATAAATTGTTTCATCAGTGCATTGGTAATATATGATGGTGGTATTTCTAATAACAATGCCACAGTTCTCAAAACATTGTGCAGGGTTGGAGCATATTTGCCCTATCGTATCACTTCAACATCAAATGAAGCTTCAATAAATTTATACTCTCTCGCTCCTTCGAAGAGAACGCAATTTTCCTTTGTGGTATGGTTTGGTTATGGTGAGTTTTGGTATTCGATGTCAAAAAGTTTGGCATTTTAAAACCTTACTTACATTTTAGAATGTGGGGGAACAATCACGTTGAACAAAACTGAACGGATTTCATTTTCAATACCTAAAGACGACAGAGCAGCTTTTAGTTGTTTGTGGGTAGTGAAAGCTCGTGAGGGAGAAAAGATATTGATGAAAGTCAACAGTGTCTCTACTACAATTCCTTGTTCAATTGAATTGCTTGTAATTACAAATCTAATATTCAGTTCCACTTACATTTATTTATTTCTAATACTTTTATTGCAACAGGTGAAAGACGGTGGTCCAGATGACGAACAAATATATTTTGACTGTCTTCTGGCTGAATTGCATTTCTCATCGACTGGAAGTAAGATTGCATTCGAGGCATTTTCATTTATTTTATCAAATGCTTCATTCAGCATAGATTTGGAAATTCACAATTGTAATAAAATTTAATTTGATTTATGCAATACCTGTCAGTATTAAAACTTGTTTTTGATTCTGTGACTTTAGCACCTTGTGGTCAATCAGTATTAACCGTGACGGAGGATCCAGAGGTTCTGACTTCGCCCAACTTTCCACAGCCTTACCCGACAAATGTACATTGTTTATGGAAGTTTTACAGTTCCAAAAGTAAAATCAGTCTTCATTTCGATCATGTGGATATGTGCGAAGATGAGAAATGCATTGATTATTTGGAAGTGATTGACGTATGTCTTTAGAAAACATATTTTCTAATTTATTGTTTATGGGACAATTTACAATTTTATTTTAAACCATTGATTATCATCCCTTTTATGAAATATATTTAATAGCATTACAATTTTTTAAGGTTTATAGATTTATCCCGTATAAGACCAGGTTGTCTGGCAAAAAAAATGGCTTCGATTTTGTAGCCCGATCTGGTGTCAATATGAGGTTTGCCAGCGGAGGACGTGTGTCGCAAAACCGAGGGTTCAGACTCACTTACAGAACTCAGTGTAAGTTTCAAAATATATTATTTCTTAACTTGTTTAACTATTTCCAAATTAATAGCGTGTACTCACAACTACACAAGCAACTATGGGAATATTAAAGAGTTTAATTTGTTAAAATGTCGTCTGGTAATACAGCCGAAGGAAACCAACAGAACTATTTCAATATATTTCCAATCTGTCAATTTACAATTTAAAAATGACTGCGGCTCCGCTTCATTGAAGGTTTAGAACGAAACATAGTTGCTACACTGTGAATTCTCATTAATTTAATGTTTGTCTTTATGTTTAAGATATACGACGGACTAGAGCTAACCGATAACAATTTAATGTCAGTAATATGCAAAAGATCATTGCCAAATCCTATATTTTCAACAGGACCATCACTGACGATGGATTTCGTGTCGAAGTTAGAAGGAGAATTTGAGTTTACATATACGACTACAGACAAAGGTTGAACATGTCGATGTCATTGTTTTTTCACTTATTTAAATTGTTTGATTTTGAAGGTCGAGGCTGCGGAGGGACGCTGATGGGAACACGAGGAGTTTTCACGAGTCCATTCTATCCCAGCAACCCGGGCCAAGACGTAACTTGTGTGTGGGATATTGAAGGGCCTTACAATTCTGTAGTGGTTTTAGAATTTAAAAGTATGTTGAATAGAACAACAACCATCATGACAATAAAAATATTGAATAAAACATTTTCTGTCTAGAATTCGATTTGGGCAGCATGGAATCGTGTTCCTACAACTTTGTCGAGGTGTACGATGTTGAAAAATCAGGTCATAAAAACAAAATTATGACTTACTGTGCTGAGGTTGGTAGTTTGAAATGATACTAATTTGACAGGATGATTTTTACATGATGGTCAATGAACCTCTGATTTGGATGTTACCATTCATTTTTGTCTGCCTATCCTCGCTGGTTTGGCCTGTCAGATGTGTTTGGGCATTTTGATCTTGGATCCAAACCCAACATTGCGTTTGGCAAAGGATGAATGCATATGACAGACCAAACTAATGATGATCGGCAGACCAAATTTCAAATTTTAAAACGCATGCGTTTTTTAATATTTTTTTTATTTTTTTAGGATAAGCCATCAACAATTAAGGGAAATTATGCAAAGATGAAGGTTGTCTTCACATCAACATTGCATAATCAGGGTAGTGGATTCTTTGCCTCGTTTAAAAGTGTTATTCCCCCCAGTGTAATGAAGCTTTCTTCAGCTCTGAGGAATGCCAAACAATCAGAAGAAACTGCAGTCTCTGTTTAATTTCAAAATTTCGTACAAAGTAAACTTGAAAAAAAAGTTCTCTGTGTTAAGTATGTTTTATACTGTGTATCATGTAAATATATTAAATAAGAAATACAATAAAATATGACATAATAATGACTGAAAGGCATGTAGTTTAGTTTCTGTAATTATGTTATAACTTATGACACTAATTGTTAATTTTTTTCATGAACACTAGTCATTAATGTATAGGTCTGTTCTGAATAAATAATGTTATGGGTATATTATTATCAGAAATAGTTATTCCTATTTTATAGGCAAGCATACAATTTTTTTTTTCTTTATGATTTGTACGTTAGCCATAGAGCAGTAATGTTGGTTGTAAAACATATTTTTTCATGGGGAAAGAGAGCATGAAAAAACCAGAGTTGATGGTGGGTTCTACAAGCCAAGAACTTAACATGTTAACCACTCAGCTACCACGGAACCCAAAATTTAAATTGTACAGGTATGTGAATAGATTTAGCAGTGTAGGAATGAAAAATAGGAGAACAATATTTAAGCATTGATCTTACTAATGATATGTAAATGGTCAAAACATTAGGGTTGAGTTCAGTGGAGTAATGAGATAAGAAGCCTAGCGTTTTTAAACTGGAGGATTTAATACGGCATTTAATAGGAATGAACCATTTTGGTTGAGCATTTTTAGAATGGAAGTTTGGTCAATGATGAAAATGTTAAATAAGAATGGAGAGAGAAGCGCACCTTGAGGAACACCAACATTATATAATCCAGTAAGAGGGTCCAAACTTTAAAAAACACCTTTTAATGAAATTAACTATGCTTAAGTCAATTAAGAATATACGGCAGGATTTGACCCTGCTGGAACTGGATATTTGAGTGTGGGGGAACACAGTGGCTGAGAGGTTATAGCATCCAGGCCCAAGTGATATTATTAATAGAGAAAATGAAGATATGCAGTTTTAGTCCTGTAAAAAAATAATCAAATAGCACTTGATAATATTAAGAAACAGGTCGTTATCTAAAAATCAATGGTATCCAAGTCCAATAGGAATGAAAAATTTTAAGTTATCCGTAAAGAGAAGAGGTGATATGGGTTGATGGTCTGCGAGTCGAACTCATGCTGAACCCGCATTGGGTGTAGTGTAGATGAACCTACGAGTGTAGATGGACTAATAAGTGGCCCAAT